AGTTTAGAAAAAAAAAAATCCTTCATGGGAGAAATATATTTTGAAAGATTTTTACTAGAATTTGGGCATTTTATGCAAAGTAAATAAATTTTTGGAAGCCAAAATTTTATATATATGTTAAATATGGAGATATAGAGCTATAAAAAAATTATAACATAAAGATGGATTTTTATAAAGAGATAATAGATTTTCTTTGAGCTTATGGAAAATCTAACTTATTGACAAATAGTTAATTATGATTTGATGTAGCAAAGGATGTTAGGGCATTTCTAAATGCTTTAGAAAGTCTTGTGTAAAAATCTTCTTAAATATAATAGGTTTTTATTATTAGAATAGCTTTCTATATTTTTATATTTATTTATCTTCTATAATAAGAATAAATCACCTATTGGACCTTAGCCAATAAGTTAAAGCTAAATTCTTCAAAGTTAGGTATTCAATATATTTCCAAATAGAAAATCATACTATACAATAGTAATTTCAACCACTCATTCTATATTATATCTAATATGAGTTATATACTCTATTCACAAAAGTTTGAATGGTGATATTTTAGATTTGTTATTTCAGGTGATTTTGGAAATACCAAGTTACTTGGTTTTACAAAAGTGCCATGTTTGAACCCCTAATGAGAATAGAAAGCACATATTTGGCAAAATTTTGGGCATTTTAGGTGGATTGGTTATTTGATTGATTGGCACTACTTGCTCTAATGCTTGTCTATTTGCCATGTGGTTCTTTTACTATACTTGTGATTTTTTTTATTCATCACTTTGTATTTTTGTAGTTGTTGTTGTTGTTATTTTTTTATTTTTTTATTTTTGCTTTCTTCATTTTTTATTATTTTATTAAATATTTTATTAATTTACTATAACAATATAGGTAGATTGCATGCTTGTAAATTGTAGAGGGTTAAAATAGTGGAATGGAATGTGATGGGTCATGCTTGTATGTGAATTGTTTGTAACAATAAAGTATAATAGAATAAAATATTTATCATTGCACATGATTCTAATTTTAAATTGATAAGAAATTGCTTGCATGTACACTCATATTTATAAGTACTTTAAATGAAAGATAGTTATAATTTTTTTTGTAAAAGCTCAAAAAAAATTATGATATTGTTTATATGGTGAATAGAACTTAGAGAATGCTGATGTTTTTATTTTATTTTTCTAGAACATTTATATATTTTAGATTTTTTTTCTTGGTTAACCACTGTAATTTTTTTTAAAAAACTAGTAATTTAAAAAACTACTGGTGTCATTCTTTAACTCAAATTATTAGTTTAGTTGAAGTGATTTTGTGTGGGTAGCTAGAGGAGTTTGATATAGACAGAACAAAAATTTAAAACCTGTACAGTTAGTAATGAAAAATTGAACAGAACATATGCGCAAAATGGATATCAGACAATTTGGACATCAAAACATATGCTAAAGCATTAAAAGGAAGTATTGGTTATTTATTCTGTTTTGATTTAAATATGCCATGTTTACATTGAGTATGCAAAAATCAATACCATCTCTCAGCATTAAATTCACATTACTTACATGCTTTATTGTAGAAGCCTTCTAACTGCAATTTTTTTATTTACGAAAATCACTTACAAAATTAAAAATACATGGAGTGGTTTTAATTGTCTTTTTGTATGTTTTAATTATGAAACTAAATGTTTGAAATTTTTTAAAATAAACAAATTGTATTTTTTTAATCCCTTTTAACACAAAAATATTATTTCAAAGTTAAATATTATGATATCTCCCAAAATAATTATAAATGCTGATAGTAAGTAAACAGTATTAACATTAAGAGCCACTTTATTAAAAAAATCTTACACAAACATCTTATATATGATTTATTTTAAATTGATCTCGAATCTTTTGTTGACAATCGGTATGTAGAATTAGTTCACCTTACATGAAGTACTTAACACTATACATTTAAAATATTCTTCCCAGATAAATTGCATTAATAAGTAGTAAACAATGTACAAACTATGAACCAAATTAGGAACTTTATTAAGGTAAGTAATTAAAAAAAATGAATATTTTTGCAATGCTTATAATATAAGACTGCATAATGTCATCATGTTATAATTGCTTACTTCTTTTAAATATTATTGGTCTTTGCAGCAACAAAGCTGACATGGATGAATAGTGCCCACCTCCTTATCCCATGCAAAAATTGCTTGTGGGCGGGTACAAGAGCATCTCTGGATTGGGCACAAGACATTTTTGACAAAGACTGTTGTCAAGGTCTGGGGAAGAGGACAGAATCACACAGGCAAGGCCAAATTGGACAGCAATAACCATGTGCATGTATCATTTACAAACTTATATATATATATATATATATATATATATAAAAAATAATTTCTAAGTATTGAAGAGCTATTTTCCTTAGAAAATTATCAGGGGTTACCAAAGGCATGAAAAGCTTGTTACATTATAATGTAGCATTAATGGCAGTTTCATAGAGTTGTCTCATTTTGGAGTTACTTCAATTTGCTTTGCAATTTGAAGTATTGATGGTCTAGCAATCCAAGGTGCATCAGAATGTTAGTAATGTAGGAAAAAAACGTTTCTGTTATATATCCAACTGCCTAAGAAAGTATTATCTGTTCTTGAAAGTGGTGTATAATGCTTTCACTGTGATCTTTTACAGGCTCTGCAAAACACAGCATTGTCTGGTCTATTGTCAAGAAAATGCTATTGCGTTCCACATTGTTATAATTAATCAATTTTTACATTTTGAAAATATTGGAATTTTGAGTGAATAACTTTGATAATTTCGATACCTTGTTTGCTGCTTGATTTTATTTATTTATTTATTTATTTATTTATTTTATTGATATTATTGCATGCTCCTCAAAGGAGTGTTGTTGCACCAAGAGACAAGAGAAAGTATGTATTATTTAAGGTGTGATCAATAACTCATGAGTTACTAGTATAGAAAAATAAATAAATAAATAAATAAAATCAACTCTAAAATATATATATATATATATATATATATGTATATCTTTTTGGCATCTATGCAATGCATAGTTGATTGTTAACAATTTATTTCTTTTAAATAAAATCATTTCAAATATATGATGGTTACAATAAGATTTATATTGCAATAAGCTCATACCACAAACCACAAGTAAATATAGACTTCTAAAGAATTATATATATATATATATATATATATGTACACATATATATATAAGTGAATATTAAATCAACCCCAGAATTTACTGAAAATAGAAATAGGAGCAGGGACATGGGGGGTCAAGACAAGAGATAGGCACTTGAAATAGGGAATGGAAATGGAAATAGAGGGGTCTAATGATGGTTTTGATAGATGAGACAATTTAGTAAAATTTGAAGTCAATTTTACATTTCCCTAAATATATATATATAATTTAAATTATACTTAACACTTTATACAACCTACACTATTCTCAGATTTAAAAAAATATATAAACAAAATGTTTTATTTTTCTATCATTTTGATAATCCACGCCCTTCACATGTAAGTTCAATAAATTGTTTATAAATTGTTTATAAATTACAAATATATTATTTTATTTTTATTAAATTTTTTATTTAAGAATTTTATTAATTCATATATTTAGTGCCATTTCAATGTTGTGACTACTCTAATTGCAATAATATTTTCAGTAGTCAAAACTCAATAGAAAAAATATTGACACTTAAAATTCTCTATTTATTTTATCTATTTTTACCTCACACATTTTAAGTTATACAATTTTAGTCAATACATCTATTTAATTGAAAACATGCACTTTTAATCTATTCCATTCAATCTTTAAACAATATGAAATTTTTATATCAATACTTCATTGACTACATACCTTAAGATCCTTCTAACAATAATTATCATTATCATAATACAAAATTCTATAATACATCCTTTAAAATGTTAATATTTACTTTTTAATACTTCTAAAGCATAATTACACCAAATATAAGAATCTAATAAGTACTTTATATTAGATAAACGAAAAATCCTAATAGCTCCTTACAATAGAACATTTTTATAGACCATGTATCCTTAACCCTACCTACTTGTTTATAAATGATTTTGTAATTTGTATCTTTTTATATACTCCAAATCCATAATCATACACCTTTCTTACCAACATTTGAGCAACTTCCAACCATTGGTTGCTCACAAAATCTAAAGTAGCTACCCAACATCTATATTTGTAGACAAGAATGGATGACAAACATATGAAATGAAAACATTATAATACAAAGTGAATACATATTCTACAAATTTGCCAACATACCAGTATGTATGGACCTACATGAAAAAATAATTTATGAACTCAAAACGTTTAGTACTAAATAAGAATATTACTCATATCACTATAGCTTTTGCTATTAGTAGCATAACCTTCCATATACTACAAGCCACCTTTGTTCAATTCTTTTCAAACCATTTGATTAAAAAAAAAATTAATTGGAAAAAAAAAATATATATATATATATATATATATATATATAACAAGTAGGTGGTAAGTTGTGGTGGCAATAGCAAAAACTATAATAACACTAGTATTATCCTAAGGTAATGTGATTTACATTCTTTTTGTATATTTCATTTAAATATGCTATAAATACTCATCTTAATTACCATAGTATTATCCACTCAACAATTCACATTTTGAGACTTTGTTGTGACAACATTTTCTAGTTTTTGATCATAGTCAATTGAATTTTTTTAAAGATTCAGGAGATTACCAAATTCATTTATAATACATCTCCAACCACTTCAACCTACACCTTTTTTTAAAATCAACAATATTACTAATAATAAAAAAACATAGAAATGAAACCTCTTGAAACATGGGCAAATAAGAATTGATTCTATTTAATGTTGTTGAACAAACAAAGCAATTGGATGCTACCTAAAATATCCTTCTATTATACAGAACAAGAAATTTTCATGTTTCCTAAGTGTTGTATAATTTGATTAATGGAATAAAATGCAAATTCACGGAATTTAATTGGCATCATTAAAAATAGTACATATTCCTACAATTTACTTGACACAAGTATTTGATCCTCCTGTCCAAATTACGTAAAGTTGTAATGAGAAAGATGATTGTTGCATGAAGCTAGCAAACACCTGCAATTTGTTCAGAGTAAAACTTCAAAAAACCACAACAGAATAACATCGCTGATTGCATTCGAAGTATTCCAGACAGTGGCAGCTCAGTATCTCAACCTTCACAAGCACCCTGAAGCAGTCCGTATTCAGTTCACTCAGCACTATCCACTACTGCGGATTGCTACTTCATATGTACATAATCGAGTTGTGACATCTGTTGGGAGATGCATCTGTAAGCAAACATATCGCAACTCCTAAGTGGTTGCCGTTCACACAACACGCATAAAAATGTAGGACCTGCTGCTTTACGCCACAGGAAAAAATGAACAAATTCTTCGTCACATCAGTGGTGTCTGTGCTCAAATTAGGTCTTGAAATAGACATTTCACATGCGATACCTCCTTTACAGTTTTGATATACGCCTAACCCTATGGTACAGTTTAGGACACTCCAGGCCTCGCAATGCTCCGAGATTTATTGATTTGCCTGCACATCAGCATGCAATACAATGCTCAGAAACACGAATTGCGAGCTCAGATCCGACTACACACGTTGGACGACGATCAAAAGGTATCTCGCATTCAGACAATCACATATTCGAATGTGTCAAATTTTCAGCAACTCTGTTCTTGCCAGAAAATACGGGAGTGCATGATGAAGTACCTGGGAGTACAGAAAAGTTCCGAAGATGGCAATGGCAGCACCAACAGCGTTCATCGGCTGCACTTGTGTGTGGAAGATGATGATGGAAGACACGATAACCGTCACCCGCTTCATGGTGTTACCGATGCTGAACGTTAGTGGTGAGATCTCGTTCAGGGACATGTACGAGACCTGGTTGTACAAATGGTAAAACACACTCTGCGCCACCACCCACCTGCACATCACCATACGGATCACTTACGAACCCCCTCAATCCTCCATTCCAATCATACTCATCGCATTCACTGCACATCAGGTCACTTGACTTGTAAGGTGAAAGCTCATAAACACAAGGTCACGTCAGAAACATCAACTACTTGGTACAAGTCTCGGTATAAATGCTGAGAGGAATATGCAAGTACCAGAAAATCTTCGGTCCAACAGTCAAGTTCGCCGCATCCCACCCCGCCGTCCAAGACTTGGGGCCTTCCACAGCGATTGCGAAAGGCGTCAAAAACACAAGCGACATCATGCTCAGGCATGCGTAGTAGTTCATGCCACCAACGCTCTTGCCGCTTGTCATCCCCTTCTTCGAGAAGATGTTGCGGAAGACGAACGCAATGTTCGAAACCATGGCTCCCACAAAACCTGCCATACCAAAGCCATCAGTTGAACCTCCCTTCACCCCATAATCCTTGTTAGACCCAGAATACTTGTATCCCACTCAGATCAATCAGGCTGTATAAGGAACCTACTTGGACAAATGCCATTGTAATAGTGCAATACCTGTCATGTTGAAGTTCAGCTCTGTAGCAGCAGCCAAACCACAACCCCCAACAATGGGCAGCAACGACAGGTAGACTGGCAAGGGAAAGTCCTCCCCCAGCAACAATCTCTGAATGATCACACTGAATGCGGGTTCCGCGCTCTTGATGATGTGTGTGAATGACACTGCAACCTTCGACATACTCACAGTCGCTGCCACGTGCCCAATTGTGTGCGCCAATGCCGCCTAACAATGTACATTTCGTGAGAAGTTCAGAACAATACTCGATAAGATTCCCAGTGCTTAGTCTCATGAACACCAAACCTGAACTGCACACACAAGCTGAGGCTTCTGTTCGCATAACCAACACCCTTCCCGAGCACCAGGACCTCAGGCTTTGGCTGCACAACCTTCGTGTAGCTTAAGAGGGAATGCTGCTCATCCCCTTCCTAAGTGACCTGTACCCTTCAGCATCTAATTGCGTTACAATTCCTGTGCTAGCATAATAAAAGGCTTCTAATCGCACTTAACATGAAGTGCAACATGTTGGTGCAAGGTGTACAATACAGTGTAGGAAACAACTGGCAAAGGAATCCAAGTGAATCTGTGTCTAGGCTATGTGGTGAAGATTCGGCACCACACTCGTATTTTCATCTCCAGAAACACCGCGACCAACAGGTTCCATTGTAACACCCACTGAGCATCCAAGAGGAACACCTACGTCAATATAGGGTGACAACTACAACCCCCTCTTGAATTACACTTCCATGCCGAAATTTGTGGTTCAAAATTCAAACAATTCGACCCATTGACCCTTGCCCACCACACCAACGCGAGTAAAGAGGGCAGTGACATACCGGAGCAAGGCCTTTCCAAAACTCGACGTCCACGTCCGGTGCAGGAACAATCCGCAGGGCCCATGAAATCAGCATGATAGCTGAACCGGCTGCGAGGGACAGCGTGGATGTCAACCATGGAAATGGAAACACATTCAACACCTTCTTGTTGTAAATGTTGAATACCACGTTCAATGCCCACCAAGTGGCGAAGTAGATTCCAATCTTCACTCGCCTCATTGCGGGCTTCGGAACCTCCACATCGCCGACCTTGGGTGTTCCTTCCGGATATGCATCAGAAGAACTCGCATCACCAGCTTGTGCAGAGACTCTATGGACCAGTGCCTTCTTCATGGCTGGACCCACTTTTGTAGAGGAGCTCACACCAAGCGACTCACCGGCCAGGAAAGGGTTGAAATTCAGCTTGCTGACACTCAATGTTGTTTTCAGCGGTGTGGAGTTTGCCACAGATCGCACCCTGGAAAATTGTGAGGGAGGTATTCCATATTGGCTTCTGGAGATTGCTGATCTAGAGGGGCTGCCCGGACAAGACAAGTGCTCGAGGCCAGAGGAGGCCAAGCCTGGAAGAGAACGCATCGCCATCATGGTGCCTGAACCGTTCACCTATGAGTAACGTCTCACAGCGAGTGAGTTTGAAGAGCGAAGTATGTGACGCGAGGCAGGAGCGTGTTGGCAGAATGATGGACAGTGCTACTGATCGCAATCTTAATGCCAGGCGAGGTTGCTTAACAATGCCAATAATCTCGACAAATAAAGGAGTTTTTCCCGGACCACTTTGAACGCCAGATGAGACCTGCAAGTGCACCACAAAAACACAGAAACCAGAAGTGATTTCAGAATCCCCTGTCCTCAAATCACGGTACCGGTTAGAATTTTGGCACGCACACACTACAAACAATTTTATTCAAATATACCGAGACAACCTCCACGTCCGTGAAACCAATAATTGACGACTTGTGTGAAACAGAGAACCTTGCTTCACTCCCTAATATGCAAAATATTGAATAAAATTGTAGGAAACTAGAACTGAAGTAACTTGAAGATCAATAACTTGAACAACATTTATTGAGACAGAGTACCACTGACAAACTCGCAAATGAGCATTAAACAATGTTATAAAAATAAATAAATAAATAAATAACTTCAAATTCAACAATATCAGAATCCACTACGCGAGATTGCCAAGTTTAAGCAGTTGAGTTATAAAAACAACAGCTTTAGGGAATGTTTTCCCCTTTCACATGGATCCACGAAGACTGAATACCACACCCAAGAATCATCACAGTGTCCTCACCACTAACAAGAGAGCGACGAAAACTCTTAACGTGATGGACACAGCAAACACGAGGCATCCAATCCACACCCTTCACAAAGTGGTTTACACACCCACACCGCGGAAGCACAAGATGCTCACCTCGAAAGGCCTCAATCGACCGGAGCTCCAGCCAAAAAAGGATCACAGCCAATTTCCTCCGCCCCACACTCAGGTGGGGAGAGAATCTGATATGGAACTAAGAGTTGCGAGGAGCGCAGCGGAACGAACCGGGGAATTTCTAGAATGAGGCACTCTTCCATTAGAACAAAAGAAAATGAGAGTGATACCACGGCACTTATGGTTTCCATTCCGGCCTCGTCTAGGCCTTCGCTCGATGCAGCGAGCGAGAGAGCGAGTGCCGTCGATGCGGACACCATCGCCACACTCCACAGCCCCCCTGGCACTAAAGCGCGACGACGCCTGGCAAGCGCCGCGGCCTAACAAAGACACTGCCTCGTCTCCATGGAACTTTCTCACGAAGCGGCCCGGAAAAAAAATCTTGCCTTCTGGACCACAGTGCTAATTGTCGTCCAGTTTTTTTGTATCTGCCCGCTGCCCACAAAAGGGAGACCCCAAATATTGATTCTCTGTGCGAATGTTAGATTTCGTTGCTCTTTACCAATGATTTCGTTCATGTGGAGTTTTTAAATGCATGAGAAGAAGGGGGGCTCGTGTGATCCAATCACAGAAAGACCCAATGGATGTGCGTGTGCTGGTGCCACTTGGTGGGTGGGAATTTGGTTTCGTGAAAGACTGTTTTTGCTGTGTTTGCATGTGCGCAGTCATGATTTGTGGGCTTGGGCATACATTGTTTCCTAATTGGTTTAAAAAATGTGTGTAAACATAAATGTGGTCACTGGTTAGTTGAAAACATAATTTAAAGGTTTGTGATTTTTGTGATTATACTTTGATTTTGACAATAATGACAAATCCAAAATTTTAAAAATAAAAATAAAACAGAATCAATTTTATTTATTTATTTATGACATAGCTTCATTCATTTTTGTAAAAACCACCTTTAAGGTAGGTCTAATATAAATTCTAAGAGCCATTATTCATTCTATGTAAAAATGTAATGCATTCTACTTCATATATATATATATATATATATAATTAAATTGATTGTTGTAAGTATAAAGCTAACCAAGAGAAATTTTGATTTAGTTGTCATGTAAATAAGGATCATTATATACAACACATCAAGTGCTACAAACCAATCACAAAGTATGTAATCTAAACCAAATACAAATACACAATTAACACAACAAACATATGAGAAGAAATCTTCAATCATTATGAATAGATGAAGCATAGCTAGAACACTTCTTACAACAAGGACAAATCTAATCTCTTGATAGTCAAAAGAGATGGTATCAAGCATGCTATATGCCACCCTTGTTGGCATTAATTACACAAAAGCATGGTAGTAGGTTTTTTCTACTCACCACAAACAAAACAAGGGAGACCAATTGACATAATTGTTAATTCAAGATGTATGAAATCATCAATAGAAAGATGACAAGGAACACAATTCTTTGAATACTTGCAACACTCTTATCCATCATTACCTTCAAGTAATAAAATATCACTAGATAACACATCTTTTACATTTAGAATTATGCACCCTACCTTAATATTAAATGTAGTAGGCACCTCAAGCTATAAATACACATAATCTTTTTTGGAAAAATTTTGCAAGTAAGGTTGATAAGTTCTACTACAAATGCAAGCATATTGTAAGGTATCACGATATCAAGCAATAGATAAGTTCTTCATAGCCATAGGCATGGCTCTTTTAAAGAACTCTACTTAATCTTAAAGACATTAAGTTCATATGTCATGGTCATCTAAGTCCACAATTACAGCTAGCTTTTCACATACTTCACTTTGTAGGATTGGCTCCGATCCGTATAATAATTGATAAGGTTTATAATATATCAAAGTAATTTACTTATTAAAGCAATAATCCATTACAATCCATGGCAATATGAAGTTTTAATTATAATAAATGCCATGAAATATTCTATATTTGTATAAATCACATTTGACAATCTAAACTATCCATTTTACCAAACTATTTGTCTTAGGATGATTTCTATAGGTGATACAATGATCTATCAAAGTTTTAGTATATAAAGCTTCAAATGTTTCAAAGAATTTCGTCCCTTCATCCATTAAGAGCACAACAAGTGTTCCGAAATGTACCAACATACAATCAAGAAAAGTCATAGTTGCCAATTTATAGAAGATCTTTACCCATGACAATAATTAAGGGCTTAGCAATCAAGTTAAAGTTCTTAAAAAACCTTTGATAGTAATTTGTCAATCCAAAAAAAGTCTACAGTTGTAAAACATTGCTTGGTGTAGAGATTTTTTACAAGACATCTACTTTTATTTGTTGTACATCAAGACCACATACATCTGACAGAATTTGGCACTTAATACCATATCATGTGACATAGTTATTTCTATTTACACTTGAGTACAAATTAATTACAAATTTTAATAGTTGTAATTTTTTGTATTCTTTTTTAATTATAAATCTTTTAAATATATATATATATATATATTTATATATATTTATATATATATTTATATATATTTATATATATTTATATATATATTTATATATATTTATATATATTTATATATATTTACATATATTTATATATATTTATATATATTTATATATATTTATATATATTTATATATATTTATATATATATGTTGTTCTTATCTAATAAATTATTTTATATAAAATATAAAAATAATAAAATAAAATAACTAATTAAGTATAAATATAAATAAAATATATCAATAAATGAAGAAAATTCTTACATGATGATAAATCTTACATATATATATATATCAAGGATAAGAACTTGATAAAGACAAATAAACAAGTGAGACTTCTCTCGAAGGAAGTTGACAAAATAGAAATAACTTAATATGTATATTAAGAAAGAAACTGGAATGGCTATTGTGAAAAGACAAGAAAATTAGAAACCCTTGAAACTAAACTAAAAACAAGAAAGAAGTTGACAAGAGTGAAGAAGGCTTCTCTCTTATCTCTATATATACTATCTAACTAAAGACTACGTGGAGATGTTCTATAGGATCTACAATATGTGTTGACTTTGTAGGATACATGCCTTGACTTACAAGGCAAGTTTTTTTTACGTGTGGGCCATATAGTTAGCTTGGTCTTCAAGCTAATAACATGTGTGGCACATGGCCAACTTATTGACCATGTTTCTAATCCAAAAAGTCAATTACAGATACCTATAAAGTCAAAGCAACATCTATAAAGCTTCTAAGAAGCTTGCATAGAAGATATTATAGAATTAACTTAATTTTATCTACTTATACATATAATTACTAGCTTACATATATATTTCTATTATAATATATATCAAATTTAAAAGTAAAAAAAATATATTAATTTTAAAAATAAAATATAATTAGATTACTTATCAAAATTTTGAATAGAATTAAAAAAAATTAAATAATATATATTTTTAAAAAACTTAAGAAAAAATTTTAAAAAATAAAAAATACAAATTTTATAATAATTTTTAAATTATTAGATATATTAGATATTTCATATAATTTTAATATATAAAAAATCTAAATTTTTAATATTTATATCCAAACTATCATTTAAAATGAGATATTTTAAAAATATCACTTTAATTATCTAAAATTTATATTTTTTAAAAACTTGGTATATAATCTTGTACTACTAAGTTTTTTTAAGATAAGATAAATAAATATTTTATATTCATCTATATTTTTGGAATATATAAGAATATTATATAAATAATATAATTTAAAATAATCTAAAATTTTATAAAATATACCATTCAAAAATTCCTATAAAGTAATTGAATCATTTGTAAGTCTAAAAGTCATGAAAATATATATAAAACAATCATATATATATATATATTAATTTATTTTAAAAAAATATTAGAATATAAGTTCATTGTAAAGTTATTTTAATATAGATCATTTGCTTCAATTAATTATTTAAGTAGCTTCAATATTAAAGTATCAAAGATATGTATATTTATTTCAATAATTATCTATATAATTCAATAGAAATAGATAAATGTAGATTAGTTTTATAATATCTTTCAAAGAATCTTCTTAGAAGCTACATAGATGGAATTATGACTTTACATGTATTTATAGTTGATTGATAAGTTAGAAACTTAGTCAACAAATTAATTATGTGCTACACATGTTGGTAGCTTGTAAAACAAGCTAACTATGTGATGCACATATATAAAACTTGCCTTACAAGTTAAGATATATGTCTCATAAAGTCAATACATGTTGAAGGTTTTATAGAATATTACTACGTAGCTTCTAATTAGATAGTATATATGGAGGCAAGAATAAAGCCTTCTTCACTCTTATCAATGTCTTTCTAGTCCTTAGTCTTGTTTCAAGACTTTCTAGTCTTCTTGCCTTTGGCATTAGCCATTCTACTTTAATACTATAACATCTTTGAATGATTTTCTAGTCTTTTGACTAATATAAGAGTATATTGAGCTTTTAGTTCTTTGATGTTCATTTCTTTGATAATTTGTCAAGAATGCTTACTTATTGTTGTTATTTTGTTTTAGAAGTGAATAAATTATTCTACTTCTATTGTTGCATTTTAAAGATTACAAACTATCAACCTTTGAATAAAAAGTTTATTTTCTAAAATCAATTTTTTTCTTTAAGAGAGTCAATTACCTCTCTTTGTAGAAATTTTTATTTAATATGAGAGGTTGCAAATTATTCTCTTCTAATTTAATTTTTTGAATTTGATTGAATTTTCTATAAAATATATATATTACTATCAATGAAAGTAAAAATAATTTTGCAACTATTGCAAATCTTCTTGAGCTTGTCAATACTCTAAGAATAAGAATCTCATGTATTTCCAACGTAAATCATGGAGGTACTATTTCTACACCTATACAAAAAAATCCGGAGTCTACTTTAAGAAGTTCTATAGTTGAAAGAAGCAAATAAATCAACTTCATAACCAAATTCAAAAAGTGTCGCTTCTACAAGCATGAAAGAGGTAAGAATTAATTTTCCTCATAAGTTTAAAATTAATATCTACAGGATCAAAATTTTGAATATTTTTACAACAAATTAAGTTCTATTGAAGATAGCATCTTTTGAATATTTTAATGGATTTATTCTAGTTCGATTCATAGACGTATTTTTATTTACAAGTGCTCTTTCTTATTTTGTACTTTTGATAAAAAAAGATTTATAACTATTCTATGATTTGAATTCATTCTTAAAAATATTTATGGCTATATTTGGAGAAAGTGATTACAAAAAGATAATAAAAACTAAGCTTGTATTTCTATGAGAAGGATCACTTTCATC